ACAAAAGTCAAAATTCAAATAAATTGAAAATATAATGAGTGAATATTTATACTATAATACTAGAACTAGAATGTATCGAACATGAATTAGTGATATATTTTAGCTGAGGTGATACTATATCTGCTCATACATGTACATGAATTAGTACATTAACCCTCGTCGGCCGAGAAGGGGTGGGGCGGATGCCGCCTCATAGGGGTTTTTCGCGATAGCTCAAAACACGCTGAGGGAAAACAGCTGAAACTTGGCATACCTAATATTTTATTCAAGCTGGATCTTTTGACACCAACTGCGTTTTCAGGTCAGGTCAGGTCACTGACCTATGACGTCATAAATGAACCTCTGCATGGTCCTCAGAAGTTGCAACTTTGCAACGCCCTCAGTGCCAGAGGAACTTTCACAGGAAGATGAAACTTACAGGACGTAGTATCCTTTAGAGGTCTCACAAATTGTATATCTCAGATTTTTCCCAAATGTCACATGAGGTCAGTTCGGTCACGTGACCTCACCATAATAAGTCAATGGAGGGAAATATGAAAACTGTTATTTTGACGCCGGAAATTGTCTAAAAACTGTCCCAAGCACATGAAATCGTGGTTTCATGCACTCTTTGTAAGGTCCGATCATGAAACCACGATTTCATGTGCTTGGGATAGTTTTAGATCATTTCCGGCGCCAAAATAACAGTTTCAATATTTCCCCCATTGACTTCCTAATGGTGAGGTCACGGGACCGACCTGACCTCATGTGACATTTAGGTTAAATCCGAGATAAACAAGTTGTGAGACCTCAGAAGGATACTACGTCCTGTAACTTTCATCTTCCTGTGAAAGTTCCTCTGGCACTGAGGGCGTTGCAAAGTTGCAACATCTGAGGACTTCGCAGAGGTTTATTTATGACGGCATAGGTCAGTGACCTGACCTGACCTGAAAACGCAGTTGAGGTCAAAAGATCCAGTTTGAATAAAAGATTAGGTATACCAAGTTTCAGCTGTCTACCCTAAGCGAGTTTTAAGCTATCGCGAAAAGCCCTATGAGGCGGCACCCGCCCCACCCCTTCTCGGCCGACGAGGGTTAATGTACTAGTTCATGTACATGTATGCGCAGATATAGTATCATCTCAGCTAAAATATATCTCTAATTCATGTTCGACACATTCTAGTGTTGTTACAAAAATTAACTCATTATATTTTCAATTTATTTGACTTTTATGCCTGACGAATATTTATTTTTCAAAAAATATGTGCTGTCTCCAAAATGGAAATTTTTCGGATCTCGGGGACCACACCATCGGATTCCTTGCAAAATTTTGGTCCAGAAAACACTAAAATTGGAGATAGGTATTTTCAAAAGTTATTTACCGTCTTTTGGGGCAATGTGCGCAGCCAACAGTTGTTGGCTGCGTGGTCGCTTTCTTACCTGACAAACTTTGTTAAGGAAGAGGATGCTCCCGTATGGGGGACTGTTTGAGCGGTTGGTTGGCTTGACCTGCCTATATGAAACTGTAAACTTGAATTTGGGTCACTCAATAAAGTAGCCGGTGTGTTAGCGGCCCAGCCAATAGCCATTTGTTTGCTGAATGGATAAAAGTGGGTGTCTTAGCTTATCCACGGCTGGGCTAAGCGTACCTACCGTCTTTGGTCTGTGAAGAGACTCACATTGCCCATGCCCATGAACCTATTAATCTGACAAAAAAGATACATGTGACGTTCAATTTTATTTAACCATCTCGGTGTTTACGTTTAGCCTTGCTTGTAATTGTTTTTTCGTATTCGGGAGAAGTGCTAACACAGCATTTCCGGCTCGGATAGCGTCCAAACGCGGAACATTCATGAATTGGGCACGGTCGTCAAGTTAGATGTAAGTGAATCCTAATCTATAATCTAAGATTCGGAATCAGGTGAGCCCCTACGATTTGGACCAAACTTGGTCAGTGGATAGTACGTAACGTCCTGATTACGGTGCACCCAAAATCTAAGCTCGGCCCGCTATATTTACGAAGATACGGGTGTTTGAATTTCAAGGTCATTCGGGAGAGCCCCTACGATTTCCGTCAAAATTTGTGTACGGACATTATAGATGCACCTCATTACGAATATCACCAAAATTTAAGCTCGGCCCGCCATATTTACGAAGTTACGGAGGTTTGAATTTCAAGGTCATTTGGGTGAGCCCCTGCGATTTCCGTCAAAATTGGTATACGGACATATTACATCCTCCTCATTACAAATATCATAAAAGTTAAGCTCGGCCCGCCATATTTTTCAAGTTACGGAGCCTAACACGGAGTTTCAAGGTCATTCGGAGAGCCCCTCCGATTTTCGTCAAAATTTGTATGCGGACACATTACATGTTCCTCATTACGAATATCGTAAAAGCTAAGCTCGGCCCGCACTATTTCAAAAGTTACTGACGTTTGAAACTCACTGAAATTCAAACATCTCTAACTTTTGAAATAGTGCGGGCCGAGCTTAGCTTTTACGATATTCGTAATGAGGAGCATGTAATGTGTCCGCATACAAATTTTGACGAAAATCGGAGGGGCTCTCCGAATGACCTTGAAATTCCGTAACTTTGTGACTCCGTAACTTGAAAAATATGGCGGGCCGAGCTTAACTTTTATGATATTTGTAATGAGGAAGATGTAATATGTCTGTATACCAATTTTGACGGAAATCGCAGGGGCTCACCCAAATGACCTTGAAATTCAAACCTCCGTAACTTCGTAAGTATGGCGGGCCGAGCTTAAATTTTGTGATATTCGTAATGAGGAGCATCTATAATGTCCGTACACAAATTTTGACGGAAATCGTAGGGGCTCTCCCGAATGACCTTGAAATTCAAACACCCGTAACTTCGTAAATATGGCGGGCCGAGCTTAGATTTTGGGTGCATCGTAATCAGGACGTTACGTACTATCCACTGACCAAGTTTGGTCCAAATCGTAGGGGCTCACCTGATTCCGAATCTTAGATTATAGATTAGGATTCACTTACATCTAACTTGACGACCGTGAATTGGGCGCTTACTGCTGGCGAGCGGCTTCACTTCGAACATGTGTACTATATGTAGGTATAACCGTGTAGGATCCTGGTAGAGCCGAACGGCGGCGGAAGTACCGCTGCAGGCTCGGTCGGGCGGTTTGTTGGCTGGGCTGGCGCCGGGCAACACGCGCTCCAAGTTCACTGTCACCGCGGTGCGATCGACGCTGCAACCTCGGTCGGTGCGGCCCGGATCGATGGCGCGTGCCTGACTGCGGCCGTCGTGTAGTTACGGCCCGGACCGAATCTTTACCGTTCCGGACGACACGGGCGCCTACAGTCCAGCTATGCCGCGTCCGCACTCCGCAGCCCCATGTGTCCTGGTATGATTGCCACTGGAGACGCTTGACCAGACTGGTGTCGTATTTATCAGGTCGTTTTTTTGTACGCCCTGGCGCAGGCACACATTGACATGCCTGGATTGATGGAGAAAGACCCAACGCGGTTTCCGATATGGTGACCTCAGTGAGCTCATGTGATTCAACCACATTTTTTAGCACATTTTTAGGTCATGATCCTGGTCAGATCCTGGTCAGGTCACTTCGGTACATATGACATTATAAGTGAGCCTTTGCACGGCTCAATAATGTCGCAACTTCCCAACGCCCTCAGTGCCCTCATCTTTCGCAGGGGGAGGGGGGGGGTTAAAACTTACAGGAAGTAAAAAGCTCTCAAACTCTGACAGCGTCAGCTTCTATATATCGTTTTTTTTTTTTTCATAAGGGTCGCGTCAGCGTGAGGTCAGGTGGGCTCACTGGCGGATCCAACCCAAGGGTGGGGGTGGGGGGGGGGGGAGGGGTGCATTTGGAGCAAATGACCCCAGCTCGTAGCTTCCGAAATCGATGCGAATTTGCATTTTTTCTAGGAGAGAAAAAAAATTAACAATTTTTATGGCTGGGGGAAAAGTTTGTTTTTGAAGGGCATAACGGTGCGATAGCAATCAAAATCCGAGGAATATTTTTAATTTGGATAAACTTTTTGGGGGTGTGACTTGCTCGCAGCGTCTACTCTGAGACCTCCTTTTTTGATCCGCCTATTGGTGGGCTAGGTGATCTAATCCAGAATTGGAGGATCAAAAGCATCCGGAAATTCCCATTGGTGGGTCGCTGAAAAAAAGTTCGGCTGAACCTGTTTGTCAGTGAGTATGTGAGTGAGTTTGTCCAAGCTTTTTTGGACCTGGAGTCAAAATGGGTGGACCGATCGGGACGAAAGTGGGACCGTTTGATTCGTCTCCGGCGAGGTAAACTTTTGGTGCTGGCCTCGGTTCGCTCGGTGCTTCGTGGCACATGCTATTCCGCTTCAAAGTTTCGGTGACACGAAATTTTTTGTCAAGGCTACAGGTCAACCCGAGGTCACGGGCAAAGCCATACTGGCGGGCCACATCGGTAACACCTTGAACCAGTTTCCAGGGGGGTCACCGTCTGCGAGGGGTGCAGGCTGCACGTGCTGGGGTCGGAAAACCGTTTTGACGTGAGGTCCTCTGGCTCAAAGAAATTTTAAGCTATCAACCTCAAAATCGGTTCAATGGTAGTCCCAGGCAAGGCCTCCAAAATAATGCACATTTCATTGGGCTATGGATCCTCTAATTCTGGCCCAAGGCAACGCACGAGCGCTGCCGGCATCTAGTCAGTATTAATCAATGGGAGGAAGGATTTTGATTTACGAGTGCACAGCCGTACAAGTCACGAAAGTCGCGAGCCAGTACCCCAAGGTTTAGCATCGCCTCTGTGCCTATCCAGTTTCAATGCTTTCATACCCTAACTTTACCCGGACCGCTGCGCTAGCCATTGTGTCGACATGCCAGCACCAATTTCTACTCTTTCTGTGACTAGGGTCGACATAACATGGGGCGTCGCAAATTTAGCTGCGTAAACCAACCGAATCAGTTATAGTCCAGTGTCCACTGAACGAAATCCAGCTGACGATGAGGTAAAAAAAAAGATCGTCCAAAACACAAGTCTTAGAACACGCTTGGTTTATTAGCGCTACATAAAACACGGTCACTTCTCAATGGATAACACACATTTCGCACGATCACGTAAATACGAATACAATATCAACGAAATGCTCATACTTCTTCCATCAGCTGTTGATCGCCATGGGACGTATCTACTAAGTCCGGGCACATTTCGTCTTCACCAGTGCAAGCTTTTCCGGGACACCTGCTTATGTTTTGGTCTGCACTCGTCAAGTGGCCAAGAATTGTTTGTTCAGAAATACATGCCTTTGCCGGGGACGATGCTTCCACCCATGGTCAGGCACTTTACTTTGTAAGCGCCGATATTTGCGAGAATGCCAATGAACGGCGCAAAGAGCTGACTCCAGCCAACTGCTGAGAAGACTGACCAAACGCGGCATACGAGGTTCCACAAACACACAAACATTCACACAACGGCGGCGAAACGTGGAGTAAAACAAAACAGACCGCCGCTAAAACAACCTAAAACGAGCCGCCATCTTGGGCAGGGACACATCTGGTACAGTCGCACTGTCTTCAAAGCCGTCAAAACGCATATAAACAGGTTCTACAAAACACATACGAACGGTCATGGCCTCCATCCGACGCCATATTGGAATATCCGGATAGCTCCGGTACGTACCAGTTAAACAGATCCATGATCGCATCAGATCACACACATCACTCGCCGAAAACAGGCGTCGGCACGAGAGGCCTTCTCAGATCCCTCTGGCCACAAAGGTCCATCCTATGCCCACACGAAGGCCCAAAAAGGACCCACTGCCAACGCCCCCGGGCCCCGAGCGCCAGGCAAGACCCAAATCGGGCCCCGCCCAGACGACACCAAAAGGTTTCCGGAGCCCGGCTTACACACGGTTAAACTTCCGCATTTCGCACTGGTTTCTTGGCCCTGTTTCACCGGTGATAGCAGCACACTGCTATCACACGTGTCAAATTGGGTTTCCATGGAAACATCAATAAACCATTACGTCGTCAATCTGTGTGATGTCATCAAATATTGCTGCTAACATCTTCACGGCCGTGCGATTAAACAAATGTATCAAACGCAATTCAACGAGACAGCAATTCTGTTCCAAACGCAGCTCACGGATTACACGAAACGTCATTAGTGTGACCTCATCACATTACGTCAGCTCGCGCAATTTGATAGTAGCGTGCTGCTATCACCGGTGAAACAGGGCCCAGAACGCCCGCTGTCCGCTTCAACCATGGCGTATCACAGCGTCGGGGCAGTCACGTGACAGACACGTGACTGGCCGCGCCCGGGGGCACGGGCGGTCGTCAGACGGCGAAACTGCGAGCGCCCCAGGCGCGGCGTGTCACCGGCCGGAAGCTGCAGTTGCGCCGGCCGATCCTAGATGGCACCACGGTACGCAGCGGCGTCGCCGGCTCCCGCCTGGGCTCAAGAGCGCTCCGGCCTGTCGGGAGACGCGGGTCAAGGTCAAAACTGGCGTCAGACGTCAGACGGTCAGACGAGGCGTCAAATACACCGGGTCGGGCGCTTACAGCATTATTCATAGGCGGCGGAACGGGGAGGGCACCGGGGCACCGTCCCCCTTTGATTTTGGCATTTTAACATAGCCCTATGGGCGTTGCATGGAAAGAATGGGACCAAAAGTCGGCAGTGCCCCCCCCTTAATTTAAGGTGTTCCGCCGCTACTGGCATTTTTCGAAAATCTTGCACGTTAGACGAATGATGAACATTGGACTAAGCTGATCTATTCATGCATAAATTATGACGGTTTGCGTTATCGCTTGCAGACTAGAGGCAGTGTCGCCGTACTAGTCACAAAATGCCAATGCGACACTATAAAAATAGTGGCATCCACAACCGCCTCATGTTCCTGTCAACAGCCCTAAACATCTGACACACATTGATTGGTTGCATGCTACAATAATTCTGAAAACAACAGGTTATGGCGATCCTTCAATAATCGATCGAGCGAGTCAACCGACTGGTAACGAATAGGGTAAAAAGACTAGATATCGAGAGATATTCTAGAAAGACTGGATCTAGATACTGAGAAGAAAAAAAACATGCAATATGGCCACACCAAATACAGGGGAGCAAGAGGGTTTCATTTGTAACCCTAAGTTTTGTAAACGTGTCTCAGGTTGCGAGGAATACATCGAGTAGCTAATTGCAGGAAACACATCGAAAATACAAACGTACAAACAAATTTACATTCCAATAATTATCGGGTAAATATAACGAATACCATTGCATTTTATTTCTGTAACGCATATCACAGGGAAAAGACTATCGACATTTGAAGAAGGTGCACAATGGGTCACCATGGCGTAACCACGGAGCACTATCACAGCTCAAAGGCAACACCGTCTAATAGAAAACAGACAGGTCGTAGTTAGAAAGGCTAGGCTAACCTTCAAGGCTTCACAACCGCCTACAGAAAGGACATTATAATATCTAGCGTAATATCGAAACCAGGGGCGGATCCAGAAAAACTCCAAGGGGAGGGTCATGAATCGAAGTGGTGCCCCTACCTATACCCAAAATTAAAAACTCAACGGATTTCGTCCACTTCATTTTGGTGGTGCCCCCATTTTCAGTTTTTTTCTTTTTATTTTTTATTTTTAGTCAGTATATCTTAACTCTTAGCCACAACCACATTTACCAATTGTAAGCAAGTAGGTATATATGAATGTGCTATGTGTATATATGTTGTGGACGCTGAGTAGTGAGTACCTACTTACCAGGAACGTTATCAGGTAAGCGAATCGTTGTCAGTCCGACGAACTTGACCCTGGCGTCTAAAGGGTCTGTCCTTGACACTTCAGGCTTGTCAGGGGCACCAAAGTCCTTCCAGGGACACCACAAACCTGTCAGGGGCACCTACGGCCTTGTAGGGGCGCCACAGGCCCGCCAGGAAGCAGGGGCACCACAGGTCTAGCAAGTATACACGACAGGCCGGTCAGGGGCACAACGGGCCTGATGGGCCCATGAGCACCCCTAGGGGCAGGGGCACCACAGTCCTTCCAGGGGCACCGCAGGCCTGTGAGGGGCACCAGCGGCCTAGCAGGGACACCAGTCAACACAGGCCTGCCAGGGGCACCACAGACCTGCCAGGGGCACCAGAGGCCTGCCAGGAGCACCACCGACCTTGCAGGGGTAACTTGGGCCTGTCAGGGGCACCACGGGCCTGTCGAGAGGCACTTCAAGCATTTCAGGGGCACCATAGTCCTCTCCGGGCGCAGGGGTAGCAGGGGCACCGGAGGCCTGCCAGGGGCACTACAGGCCTAGCAAGGGCACCACTGGTCTATCAGGGGCACCACGAGCCTGTCATAGCCAGGCATCTCAGGCTTGTCAAGGCCCAGGGGCACCACAGGTCTGTGAGGGGCACCAGCGACCTAGCAGGGGCACCAGTCAACACAGGTCTGCCAGGGGCGCCACAGACCTGCCAGGGGCACCACAGACTTGTCAGGGGCACCAGAGGTCTGCCAGGGGCACCACCGGCCTCGCAGGGGCACCTTGGGCCTGTCAGGGGCACCACGGGCCTGCCGAGGGGCACTTCAGACTTTTCAGGGGCACCAGTCCTCTCCGGGCGCAGGGGTACCAGCGGCCTAGCAGGGGCACCAGAGGCCTGCCAGGGGCACCACAGGCCTAACAAGGGCACCACGGGCCTGTCAGGGGCACCTCAGGCTTGTCAGGGCCCAGGGACACCACAGTCCTTCCAAGGGCACCGCAAGCCTGTCAGGGGCACCAGAGGCCTGCCAGGGGCACCACAGGCCTAGCAAGGCACCACCGGCCTTGCAGGGGCGCCTCAGGCCTGTCAGGGGCACCAGGCCCGTGGTGTCCCTGCTAGGCCTGTGGTGCCCCTGGCGGTCCTGTGGTGCCCCTGTCAGGACTGTGATACCCCTGATAGGCCGGTGGTGCCCCTGGCAGCTCTTTGGGCCCCCGGGCCTCAAGGGGGGGGGCATGACCCATGTGACCCCCCCCTTGGATCCGCCCCTGATCGAAACAAACTCCGTGACATAAGGAAGCACAGGACATCTATATCTATCGAACGCACAAGTCACCATAGAAATGATCCATCATAAAAATAAATAAATGGTCGAAGGAGGGTACTATCAGGGTATAGTCTCTCTTGAAAGTATCGCGTCATGGGCTGCGGCGGCTCGGCGAACTATTCCATTCAGTTTGAAGACCCCAGCAGTGAGGTCATGGCCTGTATTATAAAGAGTACGGTGTAACATGATTCTACGCCAGCGGTAGGAGGAAAACTGCTATATGACGCAGGCCCCAGCGGCTGATAACTGGGTCAAAACAGGCGGAGGCCGGCCAAAGGTCATGCTCGTGTCAGTCTCCCTTGACCCCGTCCCCCGCCCCAGGCGGATACCGGTGCCTCTTGGGCTCACCAGCCGCCAGCCGGGCGCTCATTGGTCTGCCTTGGTGGGCGCCAATCACTCAGTTGTGTGTAACGCGTAAAATCACAACGAAGCAAAGTTCCCGCCATGGTCCTAATGTGAAGAGATTTTCTGAACGACGTTAACAGGTCATGAGAGTGGGGCAACCCGATATCAAATAGGATTTTTAAAAAGAAGACGGCAGAACGGTAAATATTTTTGTCGTCGTTCACTAGCCGGCTCATTAAAAAGAGAAAACTTCACATATGGGAATAATTGGCTAGAGAGCGAATTGGCGAATTGGCTAGAGAGAGAATTTTCGCTGTTATTTGAATCCGCTCGCGGGTGCATTTGCAGCCACGGATGCATTCTGTTAGCGGGTGCAACAGATGACCGTATTCGGGCACGGGTTTCCGGATTTTACCAGAAACCTGTGACAGTCGTGCCTATGACGGGTCAAATTGTTAGCTTTGCAATGAAGCAAATCTCAACAAATCCTCTGCGAGTAGGGTGGCCTCCGCTGACCACATGCTTACTGCCATCACAAGCTACCGGACGGCGACCGCCACCTCCCTCCATCCCTAGTCGCAGTCCGCAGCCACTCCCCTCGCCCCGCCGCGCCGGCTGCCTCCTCGTGTCAGGCTTCGGTCAGTGCTACCAGTGGCTTTCAAACCTTTCCGCTCAACCGCGGCTGGGACAGGTGGCGCCTTCCCTCAGAGTCGCGATACTTTCAAGAGAGACTATACATATAACACAACGATGGGCGTGTAAACTGACAGAAAAGCGAATCATTTACTGTTTCTAAAATTAAAATCAAATAAAAGACTAATCAAGCAGCTTTTGTCTTTGACAGGACGCAGCCTCGACCTTTTTTAAAAATTATAACGTAAAAAACAATTTGAATTTATACGTCAGTTTTTCACGCCCATCCAATAGATTGACATCCATTCCTACGACAGCGACTGCAGTCTAACCTGACCGCACCATGTGACGTCACACCTTATATGACGTCACATTACGTCACCACCGGTGGCAGTACCGCATCACAGGCCGTCGACCACCTGACACAACGACCGGGTCAAGGTCAAGAATGCTAGGTCAACATGGGATCAAGGTCACTAACTAGGTGGTTTGGACAAGAGCCAGGCTTCAACCGATTTAAGAAGCCTTGCGTTTTTCTCATTCTTGGGAGAAATTGCATCGGAAACGGAAAAACGTCATTGGATTAGAAGAGTATTTCGCTACAGGTATACTAAACTGCGGGACATAATTGGGAACATGTTAGTAAACGGATTTCTAGCTCCAACTGCGTTTTCATCACTCATGGTAATTCATTATAGGAGAATAGACTTTGACATATCAACACGCTAGCCTAACTGACTTCTAAGACCACGCAAAACGCATTTCAATATGAAAACTGTTCAAGATTACCTAGATCAGTGACTACCAAAACACCACGAAAAGGATCGACTACGCACAGCACACGTTCTTACAAATCTCCGCACTTGACGAGACATTAGCCATTGTATCAGCATCAGCTGTGCCAGTCGTCTGACAAGCGGGGGTGCCCGAAACCGCAGCGCACGCGCCCACTCTCGACTCCCTCTCTCGCTCAGAGTCCGACTCGGAGTCCGAGTCCGAGTCGGAGTCGGGAGTTTGGACGGCCAGAGCACGCGCCAGATACGGATGCGAGTCGTAAGACCGGAGGGACGCCCGCTCTCCGGCCCTGTGAGGTCACATCCACAAAATATTGGCTGATTTCTTTCTAATCGAGCACAAAAATAACTAACAACTAAGGGGGTTCATGAATTAATTCGTTTAAATTGAGTCATTTAGATGACGTGAATGTGTGATTTAAAAACAGCAATAGGTAGGTTTCTGATCGATACAAAACTACACATTTAATAACGTTAGATTGTGTGACAAAAATAGCCCATAACATTATGCATAATGTGTGCAACAAGAGCCTAAAAGCGTATGTGCTTGCATTCGCCGCACAAAACTATAAAATAAACGTAACCAAACTAAGTCACTATACGCCTGATGAATACCCATACAGCTGTGAATACTATCATGTCATTCAAATTGCACATTTAATTTAACCAACTATCCAAGCGTACCTAAATCACTTGAGCCTAACTTCAGAAAAAGGCCATACCATGGCGGAAGCCCAATAAAATAATTCATACAGACTGCAAGCCAGTGCATAATTAGCAAGCTGGCGGGATCTTTAACTCATAAAAATTGCGATGCATCTTTGAAAAGTTATTCATGAGTTTTCAGACAATCATACCACGCATGCGCCGCGCAATCATAGCGTTTGCGCATGCGCCGACAGCAGAGGCAGCCATGCAGCGATGGGCAGCACTGGGAGGACATAATATCGAAAAGAAACCAGCCATAACCGGCTTTGAACGGGATAAAGCTGGGATAAGCCACGGTAAGCCGTATGATCTGCCCGATAAAAACCGGCGCAAGCCGGAATAAACCAGAATGGACCGGCGCGGGCTGAAATAAACCGGTTAAAGCCGGTGAAAGCCGCGGGGTGACACGGCGGAGCAGCAGTTCAAATCGCGCACCTGTGCGGCGCTCACAACTGGACGGGGCTCGCGGAACGTGAAGTTTGCCTCGCCAACAACAGATGGCTCTGCTCAGGGTTGCCGGCCAGCCGCCGCAGCATACAGTGCCAGTTGGACTTCGCCTGATCGCCGGCCACACTGAGACATAGTGAAAGCCCAATGACGAATCGGCGACAGATAATAATATCGGGGCACGTCCTGGCCAATGATTTATAGATGTAATCCCTTCATGGGCACAGCCAATAGAAATTTGTTGGCCCCAACATGATAGCCATTAGGAAAATGTCAATATGAGCTGCTGAATGCTTCAAGATCCCTTCGAGGCATGAGGTAAACCTTCAGAGCTCGAGATCAGACGGCTGACGGCAGGAAGTACAGTAAAGTTTCCAGTAGCCAGCCGTCAGAAGCCAGAGGCCAGCGACCCGAGGTCAGCGGTGAAACGTTAGGTCAGGGATTCCGAAGTCCGAGGTCGAGGTCAGTAGTCGGAGGTCGAGGTCAGAGGTCAGGTCACTCACCCGGGTCCCGGGTAGAAGTAGGGCGGAGGCCGCTCATACCCGGCCGGGGCCGGGTTGTCCGTGTACCCCGGCGGACCGCCGTTCAGGTCCCACCTGGTGGACGGAACAGGAACTAACGTTAGTCTGGGAGGAACAAGGTGCGAGGCCCTGTCGCCAACGCATTGTCATGCTACAAACTCGTCTTATAGTATGATGACAGAAGAGTAGTAACAGCTAGCGGTGATGTCACTGTGAATGGCATAACGATATTGGTGTCTTATAGGGGCATCAACTGACACTTAACAGTGCACACGAGGCACGAGCCTCATGTGCACATGAAGGGATGCAGATTCGGGCTTCGGAAAAAGAAATCAACGAATGAGTGCACTTGACACTTTTTCAGACCCCACTAAAAGTTCACCACACCACCAAGCTACCCCTCAATAAGCCCTCATACATACCCTGAATCCCCCATGCCCCAGCATCCCCTCCTTCTCCCCACCCTCCGTCCTCCCGCCCACGTCACGTGACCACCACTCACAGGGGCGGCGCCTTGGGGTCGGTGTCCTCCGCGTGGTCGCCGCTGGCGCCCAGCGGACGGAACTGCTGGCCCCTCGGCGGGATAGACGTGTACGGCGGTGAGTCCGGACTGTAACCATGGTAACGGTTGTTTTCGTACATGTTGCCCGTGCGCCGCCGCTCGCCACCAGAGGCCGCTGTTGTGCTGCGCTTGGCGCCGCGCTGGTCACGAACGCTGAAAAAGGCAGTGAGAAAGTTAGTAATCCGGGCAATGCATATTATGGTCCACGTATGTGCAATCAGCTCAATCTGAACAATTTATGCGTGTAAAGGAAAATTTCCGAAAAAGATGACGATACGGAAAATAGCACTTGCAGTGCTAAGACTGCTTTTGTAGGATGGTCACTGGGCATTGCACAGATAATCAATCTGGTACAGAAATGTAAAAATGGGGGCTTCCTCCTTTGTTTGTATGGACTTGAGGGCGTATCGAGAGCGAGGTCACTACACCCCCAAAACTGGAGCTCTCTAAACTATTGAAGAGGTATGATACAAGATGGCAGATCAGTTCACACCAGCCTCTTGCAGTAGCGGCGGAACGCCTTCAATTAGGGGGGGGGGGGCACCGCCGACTTTTGGTGCCATTCTTTCCATGCAACGCCCATAGAGCTAATGTTAAAATGCCAAAATAAAAGGGGGCACGGGGCCCCGGTGCCCTCCCCGTTCCACCGCCTATGGCCTCTGGGTGTGAGGCATTCAAACACTGGGTCTTGGGTCTCTTCCGAGGGGATCGGTGTGGCACACAGTAACATCTGCTGCCTGCAGACGGTATAACATAGCGACAAGTTTAACGGTAAGGACAGTTTTGACTATGTTCAGACAACCACCTCGGTTATGTTTGAATATCGCATCAGCTGTAAGTTAGGAAACTCGCTACCTCCTGCCAAACGATATGTCAAAATCGGGTGCGTACGGAGCAGTGCACATTGCACATAACATTCCACTAAAATAAAAACTAACAACTACCGAAAATGCACGGAAGTGACATCAACAAATACGTATTACACAAAAGCATAAGCATTCCGCTGGAAGCTTAGAGCGGCTACAAGCGTAAAAATATTATGAGCTAAGCAAAGCACAAACGAGACAGTCGAAAGCCACACAGATCTAGCGGATTAGAGCGGACCTGACTCGGGGGCAACCACCATTCAGCATGCTGTGTACCTAAAGCTGCGACCTCCTTACTATTACGCCATATCTGAAAACAGCCAAAGAGTACTTACAGCAAGCCAACTGAAATACCTGATCACGGCAACCGCAATTCATCAGCAAGTTTCGTGTGAAGTTGATCAGTAAATTCCGTGACAAAGTTCGACAAATTTACCAAGAGCAGTGCAAAATCTAAAACGCTCCATCGACGTGAAGCAGTCTACAAACGCGCAAAGAACACATGCAATGCATCTCTCCGAATTAAATCCGCTCAGTGAACGAAGTGACTACGTCATGCACCTGATCCTCCCCGCCCAGCGGATTTTGTACACCACTTACTTCGCTAGCGGAATATTATCGTGTTCACCATAAGCGTCGTAAAGATATTCACTGAAAACAGCGCAGTGTTAGAGAAAGCTTACAAAATGAATTTTATACCTAGTCATTCCCAAAGCTCCTTGGATGCGTTGTTATTTACAGTGTATTAAGTTCACCTGCTGAATTATTTATGAAAGAAATAAGAAGTTAGGCAGCAGGCACAGAGGCATTTAGATAGAATCTAATTAAGCTTATCGCCATCACCATACAGAAACCATCACCAACAGAAAGCATTACCAATTACCCAACGAAATTATCATCAACCATAAAGCATTCCCATCCTCTCTCTTTCTCTCACCCTCCCCCTTTCCCTTTATTTCGTTTTATCTCCTCTCTCTCTCTCTCTCTCTCTCTCTCTCTCTCTCTCTCTCTCTCTCCCTCTCTCTCTCTCTCACTCACTCACTCACTCACTCACTCACTCACTCACTCACTCACTCACTCACTCACCCTCTCTCTCTCTCTCTCTCTCTTTCTCTCTCTCTCTCTCTCTCTCCCTCTCTCTCTCTCTCTCCTCACTCCCTTCCCCACACTCACTTGTCGACAAACGTCTCCGAGTAGGGCTCCGTCTTGCGGTAGAGTGAGGCCAGTACCAGGCTGACCACCACACAAGGGATGAAGATGAGAATACACCAGCCCAGAGCCGCCCAGTAGCCGTTCTGAAACACGACGCATACATGTAGTGACGTCATCGGTTGTACTGTGACGTCATGAGCTCCAATGCGGTTAGTTCGGGTGGCAGGTCAGGAAACGTGTGCATGAGTTAAAACAAATGAGAAAAGATAAAACTTCAGAAAATCCCACCTTCGAACGCGAGTGAAGATGGGACCACATTCTCTCAACATGCTTTCCGTTGTAATAAAAACGCAAAGTCCCAAATGAAAATGATGGGGAATATTTAAAATGCAAAACAAAAATTGCTGAAGTAATTAGGGCTGAAAGTGATAGATATGAAAAAATACCAAACTATCAAAGGAACGAAACAAAACGGCTTAACATTAATATTTCTTGCCAAACTCACTTAAAAAAATCCATCCCCTTCGCCTCCCCACTACCACTCCAAGTCCTTCCATCCCCAATCACTCACGAACGGGTAGACGACGTTACTGCAGAGTGTGACATCGGTAGCGTTATAGACGTTACTGAGCGGTCCGCACTGTCCCACGGTCCGCCGGAAGGCGCCCTCCACGCGGCCCGTGTAGCCGTCCAGGTGGGCCAGGAACTCGGCGGCGTACTCGTCGGCCAGCTGGAGAGAGAGGGAGGGAGGGAGGGAGAGGGGTCAGATGGTGAGTTGGGATTTTAGGGATGTCATTGTCATGAGTGACGCTAAGGGGTGAGGGGTGACGGTTTATGACGTCAAAGTCTTTATTGGAGATGTCTCGAACCTCATTGATGGGCTTTGACATTTTTTTTATCCCTTCATTGGTTCTTACGACTTTTGATCTAAGGTGACTTATGACATATCTCCTGGGCTTTTAAACAAATGTTGCCGTCTCATGATCCATCTGAATGGCTCTATCGATACCGTTTGATCACTGATCATTCACTAACTTAAAACCTTTCAACATCTCCAATGGCCAAATACTAGCCCGGGTGACCCATGATGTGACCCTCCGACCACGGTATTGACCTCTGACCCCTATAACCTCATGTGACCTCGGTACTGACCTCTGACCCCGCGTGACCCCGGTACTGACCTGGATGACCTCTGCGCTGCCGCGTGTGCTCAGATACAGCTGTGCAGACTCGGCCTGACCAATCAGCTCCCTGACCGCCTCAGTGACGTTGGTACGGTTAAACCGCACGTGCTCTTGGAGAGATATGGTGGCGTTCTGTTGTAAGGGCACACAGAAAGAGGTTAGGGGGGTTATCATACGACACGGCGGGGCCCTGGCAGTAAGATATGGCAGAGGTGTGGTAGTAATAGATCAGAGGCGATCTAGAATAAACGGGATAGAAGAATAAGATGGAGGCTTGAATTTGATAGGTCAATTGGTGAGGCAGTCATGGACATTGGACAGACAACTAGGTATGAAAAAAATTAAGTTGGGGCAAACAGACAGGTCATTGGACAAGAAACAAAGAAGTCAAAATTTAACACATAAGTCAACACATCAGTTACTTTGCAGACCTTTGATTTGATGCACTTCATCATTCTATGATTCTCTCCCTCATAGTTACTTCTCTCACATTCCCTTCCTGAACCTCGCCTTCCCTTCCCTCCATGAGCTCGCTTAAGGTTCCATTCACTCCCATCTTCATCTGTCTTCCCCTACATCCTTCCACTGTCCTTCATTTCTTTAGCCCCTCTTCCCCCTTCCAGCTCACCCTCAGCGTCACCACGATGGCGGCCATCTGATCGACCACCTCCTGCTGGGCGCCCAGTACGGTGGCCTGGTTCCTCAGACGATTAGCGGCGCCACGCTCGGCCGGCGGCAGCAGGCCAGCGGCCGCCTCCAGGGCGCCGGCCATCTCCGCCAGGTCTACCGCCGTGATACGGTCCTCCAGCTGATGGTAGAGGGGGGGGGGGGGGGAGTCAGCTATGAAGGCGTAAAGGGAGGGCAATTTCGAGGGGTTGGGGGTTAAACTAGGAGATTTGGCGACAGGGAGAGAAGTGCCTATGGAGTTAAGTTTGTTAACGGCGGGAGGACGGTCAGTGCTCAAGAGGGTCAAGACTCATGAGAGTCACAAAATGTCACCAAAATGCACACATACGTGACCAATTCTCCGTCATGAAACACCACTGTCGCGTGCTCATACGCCGTCGTAAATCCAGGCACACAATTCACTCACAACTCAACTGTTGGGCTAAGTCATACTCGGACACGCAATCTGTCATGGTAGGCTTGAGCGAAGGTCTGTCAAGGAATATCACTCGCTGAAGAATAGGCTACACAGAAGTGGATTGGTCCTAGTTGCCATGGTAACGTTACACCTGTTTCCATAGGCCAAATCTCACTTGAACGAAGAACAGTTTGCGGTAAAGCAGGGTAATCGTAAAACTAATTTGAGCTTTCACCCCTTCCATTTATTCCCATTAACTCCACACACTTTCCAGTCAACTCTTACCGTCTGTGTGAACGCAGTGTAGTTGATTTTGGCCACATCTGACTCAGCCAGCTCATACAGCTGCTTTTTGGCCCGCGGCGTTAGAATCTCCACGTTAGTGTCCACCTGGCGGCAAAAACGGGAAACACTGTCGTCAGAGCCACGGGGGAGAGGCCAGACCGAAACATGTCGTCAAGGGGCTGCAGGAAGGATGACATCTAAAATTGTGGTGTCTACTTAAATGAGAATTATTAAATTGGTTTGCTCGAACAAAAGTTTAACCGTAGCACCAGATGAAAAAAAAAAAACGATTTATCGAGTGGGATGTAAGGGAGGCAGATGCCCAAACCGTCTAAAAAATCGAATTTTAATGAACGAAAAATGGCAAGAAATGACAAAAAAATATGATAATAACTGACATTTTATGTTGCATCACCATCAGAAAAAAATAATGTTGCATCAGCCGCATCACATCGGTACATAAATGATCGTAACACAAAATATATATATATATATATATATATATATATATATATATATATATATATATATATATATATATTTTACAAATTTCGTCCCTTTTCCTACCACCTGCTCTCTGTACCCCCCCCCCCCGGCCCACACACACACACCTGAATCTGTCTCCTGAGCGAGTCGAGCTGCCTGTCGATCCCCAGCTCCTCCTTGTAGCGTGTCAGCTGCCCCAGATCCACCAGCGGCTCCAGGTTCAGCACCGTGTAGATGGTCTGGTTCCGGTGACATTTTCTGCCGAGGCGGAGACAGGGTTATTATGAGATATAAAATGGCACATATGGGTCTGGGTCTTACTAACAACCCATCTTAAAAAAAAATTATCTATGCTTATAGCGTAGGGGGTGTAAAACTGTAAAGTATAGGTAACAGAAGTGTAAAAACACCATAGTGAGTCACGTCAAGGCGACCACAACCAAAACATACCAACAAATCTAATTAGAGAATAAGTTTGATAAGAATCACGCGTTTTACGAGATAAATGATCGCGAGATTAACCGAAAACCATGCAATTATCATACAAAAACTAACACTCCCCTACATCTCTCCCTCCATTTCATTCATTCATTCATTCATTCATTCATTCATTCATTCATTCATTCATTCATTCATTCATTCATTCATTCATTCATTCATTCGTTCGTTTATTAAAGGGAGATAATGACCTTTTTCCACAAAATCTGAGTTAGGATCATTTTCTGACAAAACACAACAAGTTATAATGTAAATTAAAACCATTTTGCTCAATGCGGTACCTTGCCGCAAATATCTCAACTTGAAGTCACGTTAGCGGGGAGCGCTGAAAATGACCGTTGAATAAGTACTTACATCACTTTTTGGTACTTGCATGTAATTTTGTAAAATGAGCGTATTCCTTACATTTGATCTTCATCACATCTAGTTAGTTAATGGTCGTCTATAGTGCCTTCAAAAGATATTCATGGTTTGGGGGTGGTTTATGTCTAAATTTACGCAACTATTTTTCCTGTTCATCATCTGAGGCCATATGCTGCTATTTTAGTAGCAACGACTCAATTTTGAATCGGTCCCGCCGACTGCACAATAAAAGAAGATAGATACAACACTTTTGCGGCATCACTGAAAAACTTATGCAGTACTGTTATCAAAATTCTCATAACACCGTTCGACAAACCTGAAGTCTTTTTGAAATAAATATGCTTGTATTTTTCGCTTCAGGCTCTGAGGCCAAAATAATGAATTTCGTAGTCGCAATCGCAAGATTTGGCTGCGTTTCTGGCGCATGCCGTTCATTTGTGGCGCAAAATAATACTTGGAAACAAAGAAGAGTAGGCACTATGTACGAATCTAATTAATTCTAAACCGAATTAACTCTAATTCAAATTAGAATCCTTACAACCAAGCAACGACAAGGCGATAACATAAACAAAAACCCAAGCGTCGCTGTTTGAAACAAAAGTGCCATATACTGCGACTTTTTTATAGAGAAGGACAAGAAGGACAACGCATTTCGGTGGGTGTTACAAGTACTGCAAGTACTGCTTCTTTTTTGCAAAAATAAAAACCTTTTTCACATACGAAAATGTGCTAGGAAATTTTCATATTTTATAGAAACTACAGTAGAAATAGTATAGATGTCGAGTAATTTTTATTAAAGAAAAAAGAAAGCTCATTATCTCCCTTTAACCGCGGGTATGGGTATGGTATGGTATGGGGTATGGTCCACCTACCCGATAACATCCGCCAGATCGAACCCGGTCTTCTGCAGCTCTGGGAACAGCTGTTCGGGGGGCAGCAGCGCCTCCAGCAGAGCCAGTCCACTGGCCGGAGACTCGGGCTCCCGCAGACCCTGACACAGGTAGAACTGGGCCAGGCCTCCGACCAGGAACATGCAGGTAACCACGAGCAGCACCATCCAGCCGAATAAGAAGAAGAAGAAGGTGCCGCTGTGGGGGAACGGGGAAGGGGTACATCAGTGAGAGAAATGCCGCCAGTAGGTGGACAAAATGATGCTATTCTGAGTTGTGATATCGTCGGTGACCGTATATGCCCCAAATTGTAGCGGGAACTTAATTGAAATGAATCTCCAGATTGTCGTCAATCGTCATGTCGAAATGTATTTGAACGCAATGACATTATATGCTCGAAGATACCAGGTTGTTAAAAAGACAAATAACGGATCCACACAACTTATCCCTTCCTTTCAACTAAGCACTTAATTACAGCTTTTTAACTAAGCAAATGTGTTCACAATGATAATAGCCAATCAATCATCAAATCATGTATTCCCAACTGTATGCTGATCTGTGATTAAAGGCCGCCGTCCACTGTGCGGAACGCGTGCGGTCCGTACGGAATTTAACACAGAACCCTATGGGCGCATCCGGTCCGTACGGAAATCGTGTGTGCTCCGTGCGGACCGCATCCGAACGGCAATCAGCTGTTGATTTTCCGTCAGCTCTCCGCAAGCGTTTCGGATGCGGTTGCTACGGAAACGAAATAACAAAGTCCGACATGTTGAACTTTTCTGCGGAGAACGCAGGCGGAACGGACGCGGACAGGTACAGTCTTCCGTCTTCGAGTTTTCAATTGCAAATTCAAGAAATAATTTCAACTCCTTCAAGATGAAGTAAGTAAATATAATTTCCTTGACATGGCAGCACCATGTTATGCTAGTAAATTGCTATATTTTATTTTGTAATAACTGATAATTGCTCTTCAAAAAGTGTTAGCAAGTGTCCGTGAGCTTTCCGTCTGCGGTCCGGATGCGGTCAGCGTGCGGCGACATTCCGGACGGACTCCGGACGGAATTCCGTCACAGTGGACGGCAGGCGCGGATACAAGGGGGGGGGGGCCATGGGGGTCATGGCCCCCCCCCTTGGCCGATTTTTTTTTCAAAAATAAAATAAAAAGTTAAAAAGCTGAAAAGGGGGCCTCCTGAAAATAAAGTGGCCGAAATCCGATGAGTTTTTTTTTTAACCTACCCACTTAGTTATTTCTTAGAAGACTAGCTGAGAAGACTTCTTTGTTAGAAGATTGGTAAAGCTTTTCATAACTTGGAGGTCTCTTATACTCACAGAGATGACCACTTTTACAGGGCCTCCTAACCTGCACAGAGGGCCTCCAAGCCTGCACAGATGTCCTAACAAACACAAAATCTCTTAGCCTACACAGAGGCCTCCACTCGCATCCGAACAAAGGGCCTCCTAGCCAACACAGAGGGCCTCCTAACTCACACAGAAGGTCTCCTATCCTGCACAGAGGGACTCCAAGCCTGCACAGATATCCTCTTCGCCAACACAGGACCTCTTAATCTCCACAGAGGGCCTCCACTCGCATCCACACAAAGGGTCTCCAAGTCTGTACTGAGGGCCTGCGCTCGCATCTGCACAGAGGGCCTCCTAGCTATCACAGAGGGCTTCCTAGTTCACATACAAGGCCTCCTAGCAGGGGCGGATCCAGGGGGGCGATAGGGACTATAGCGCCCCCCCCCCCGGGCGACTTTCTCATTTTCTTTTTTTTTTGCAAAAAAAGCATGATAGGGGGCCCCCAAAAATAAAGTGGACGAAATCCAGGCTTAAACTTTTGGGGGTAGGTAGGGCCCCCATCGATGGGGGGCCCCCGATTCGGAATAGCCCCTCCCTTGGCAAAATGCTGGATCCGCCCCTGGTGGACGGCGGCCTTAACTCTATCTAACCGAAGAAAAAATGAACAAAGCCCTACCACAACGCCGGGTTTATAAAGGTCTTCTTACCTGAGAAGGAAGTTGGCTCCGGCTCCCTTGTTGCACGTATCATCACCGTACACATTTCCCGGTCTGCGTCCGCAGAATCCACAGAACAGACCCATGACCAGACAGAAGGTGATGATGAGCACCATCGACGACAGAATCAGGTACAGGTAGTATCTGTGGAACAGACATCGGTCATCGCCATATAAAGCATTGTCGCTGCACATTGCAAAGGTCAGTGAGGAGAGATAATGGCACAGGAATTACAGGTGAGTAAAAAGTGAGATAGTCACCTTAACCTATTCTCAATTCCAGTTATTTTAGATAATAATACCACTCCCAGACTCAAAGAGCCATAAAGAGCATATATAAAAGAACGTTGATTGAAAAAAAAAAAAAATAAACCAACAACATTACACAATAACACGCTAAATTGCAGGTGCTAATGGCACCAGCGATCTACTCTACCTTCACAATAATACCCTTCTCTTTCTCTCTCCCCCTACCCACACCATTCTCGCTTTTCTCCCTCTTTCCCTTCCCTCTCCCCCTCACGTACCTAAACGGTCCAAACTGTTCCAGGTATCCATTGGCCTCCGTCAGCGCCTTGTGAGCGTCGTCCAGCCGGACCTGATCCAGCACGGACGACACGTTGGCCGCGATGTCACGCAGCTGACCGCCTGGGGGCGCGCGGGGTCACAGAGGTCACGAAAGGGTCGTGGGGTCACGGTAGTTAAAGGGGTTACGAATCGATAGTCGGGTTCACGGAAGGGTCGTCGGGGTCAAGAACGAGTCGTAAAGGACACTGATGAGAATAGGATTAAAATGAAAACAGAATCTAATGCAAACACAAACTTCAAACACACGCATGTCAGAACGTTGGATACCTTAGCCAGTTGTCCCCAAACATCGATCCGTCGATCGATCCCTCGAAATGTATGCTTGCCCTCACTCTGGCTACAAGTTCCATCGAAATCCATCCAATCTAAACCTTTATTGGATGGAACCAATAATCTAACATACGCGAAGCATAAAAAATGTCATCACAGCCTTTTGGCACAGCCTAAGGCACGTTCCATATTGTGTTTCGTCTTGCACTATGCGTATTTTCAGAGCTAGAGCAGCCTTACAATAACAATCGGAGCTTACAATAACAATCGGAGCTTGAAGGAGGCTCAACAACAAAAGAAGATTTCATTCGCTTGCGGCATTTCAAATGAATTTCTCAGAAGTTGGGGCTCGCCGTTCGATTATTACATCAAAACAGAATGATGAGAATCAATAGTTCGCTGAGTCCCGTGTCTTTGCAATAAATGGCGATGTTTTGAAGAGAACTAGTTCCGAAAGACGTTTCAAAGTCGTAAAATAACACATTTGAAAGAAATGAAACTCTGCGATTGGAAAATCATGGAGGAGATAAGGAAAGAATGCTACAAAACTAAAACCAACAGAATACATTAAAATTTATTGCACCAAAGCTTACGCAGTTCCTCCCTCGCTCTCTTTCCTCGCTCGATCACTCACTCACTCACTCACTCACTCACTCACTCACTCACTCACTCACTCACTCACTCACTCACTCACTCACTCTGTGTCTGTCTCTGTGTCTGTGTCTATGTCTGTGTCTGTGTCTGTGTCTGTGTCTGTGTTTGTCTCCCTCATTGTTTCTTTCTCTTTCTCTTTCCCTCCCACTCCATCCTCATTACTCCCCTCTACTTTACCCACCCTTCTCCCTCCCTCTCTCCATCTCCCCTCCCCCTCCCCTCTCCCCACTCACCAGCCTGTACAATCCTCCTCCGCACTTCAGGTACCACTGCGGCCACCTCCGCCTGAATTCGATCCGACAGTTCGTCGAAGGACCTCTTCCCGGAGCGAACCTCCCGTTCAATGCCGTTCTCAATGAGCACGGAGATTTCACGGGCTGTACGGGTGACATCCGGTAGCTGAGGAGGTCAGCAAAGGTCAACGGCAGGTCAAGGTTGTTTTATAAGGTCATGTGGGGGGTCACGTTAGATCAGGCGAAAGTCACGGTTAGGGTCATAGACTAAAGCCAGGTCAGTGATAGGTCAAGATCATCTCAGGTTAGGTCTAAAGTAGGAGCTTGATACTTGCTCAAGTCAGGTATCAAGAGTTGTTGGGATCAAAACTTGCCAGCCGTTAGAACAACTAAGGGTAACGCTTAAATCACGGTCATGCAAGTGTCTTCGAAATTCGGGGTTATGATTCGCTTACAAGGCATATTTCACGGGTGACAAAGAAAGTAATGAATTTCAAGGAGTTGTCATGTTGATCGATGCATATTTTAACGAGACATCGCCCACAGTTTGACCAGGGGTTCGCGATTTTTAACATGCAAAAAGGAAAAGTGTGAAAGAGTGAACGGTTTTGTAACGTGCAAATAGATATCATGCACATAACGTCCATAACATGTCACATATAATTGGTGGGGCACATCGTGTAGCGTGCCTGTAGCTCTCACAGCAGTGGGTGGGTAGCTAAGAGCTACGTAAGCTGTGAAGTGCGAACGTCAGAAAGTAAAAGGCGTGCGTAAAATTCCGCAACGGTAAGTTGGTGGCTTCAAAGTATGTAGCGGGTGTTCGCTAACTTATTGGGTTCTCACCACTTGTCAGTGCGATAAGATCACAAGGTTTTCGAGATATTCATGTGAAGTGCGCAGAAAAACGTTGAAAAACGCAGAAAAAAAAAACAGATCATGATCTAGAAACTCACAGCCAAATGCTCTCAACACAGCCAGCGCCGAGTACATGTCAAAGCGCAATCTATGTTAACTACTTTGTGCGTCTTCCAATCATCGAAACTCTACAGTCTGCTCTAGCAAGCATGAGCAAAGTGTAATCTACCAATCGTGCACTAAGCTTCACTAGCATGCATTCGGTGCAATCCACACTACCTCTACGCATCACATCTAGCAACTAGAGGGCGTGAACACACTGTTAGAACGTTACCTTCGGTATAAGCTCGAGACTGAGCCACTGAAAGTATGACGGCCCACTGTTAGTAATGGTTGGAATCGAGTCTACATTACACGCTTGTTATTGTTATTGGGGTGTTATGGGATGCTACGAATATACACACATTGTGAGATGTAGAAAAGAAATAGGAAAAGAACCCTTAGCCCCAAGAATAGAGGATAGACACTGGAAATCGTAGATACAGATATTAGTATGATAAGAAAGTAAGACGTTATAACACAGAAGATGGTATAGTATGCACACACACCACCCTCTTTTGTTCATTGCAAATAATGCCTAGGTAGACTTGTAAAACAAAACCCACGCATAAAGCACACTCACCGCAGACAAATATTTATTCCCACCCCTTTCCAGTTCTGTCATTTCTAGACGAGACCAGTAAAGTACCAGAACTAACCCCGCTTTGGGAACAAGTCGACAGCTACCGACTGATGAAAACCAATTCACAAAGGTTCGGTTCAATTAAACCTCTCTTACTTCTGCGCCCTCCCCAATCATTGTCTTTATCCTAAAAATACTTTATATGCATGAATTTCTACTTCCTTCCCCCTCCTATCTTTTTAGTCAACTTTTTGTCCCGTCATGTACCCAAGACGCACTCCCAATCCCTATTCAAAGAACCAAACACACTCACATGCCCCCCCCCCCCATACAAACACACTCCTTTCCCCACACCCACTGTCATACCTGTCTGAACTCGTTCTGCACTGCCAGCTGAGAGAGGTTGTACTGCCGGGCCAGCTGCTGACAGGTGGGAGAGTTACAGAGCAGCAGCAGCTGCTGCAGCTCTCCCTGTACACTCTGCAGACCGACCTGCAGCTGGTCGGCACGCTCCTGCAGCCGCTGCGTCTGACTGGCGATACTCTGAGAAAAGGGGAGAAAATTATGGTGGACCTCTGCGCTTGACTGGTAATTCTTTGAGGGAAGCAGAAAGGGTCGGAGATTAACAGGCAATGGAGAAAGGAATACAGCAGCTCAGTCTGACTGGCGATTCCCTAATGGGGAAGGAGGGTTTAAATGTGAAGAGGAAGTGGAGAAAAAAACGTGCCCTCTGAGTTTTAACTGTCGATACTCTGACAAGAGAAAAGAGTGAATATAAAACTTACGACAACCAGTTCAATAACGCAATAATATCAAGAAATCAGGCAAAAAGGTCGCTTTGACTTCTCAGGTTAACGACTCACTACATCGCAAATGCAGTTGAACTCACAGGCTCTCGTAATAGGATCGTCGTATGAGTGTCCAGCACCGCTGTTTCTCACCAATTGAGAGCGACAAACCCTCAATGACACAGCATCAAGAACAATATCTGTTTCCGCATTACACCCCACGTGTCACATTTCCCCACTACCAGACATGATTCAGGCCTCTAAAGGCATTCATATCATCCGGAGCAGGCATTTAGTGGTGCATTTAATTACTCCCAAGCATCGCCCGTTGTGTATAATGGGGCGCGAGAATAAAGAAGAAGCTCAAGCGTGGATGAAAATGAGCGCTGGGCTCATACCCGGGCAGGATGACAAAGTTAATTACGCTTTATGAGACGCTAGATGGGACCGAAATATGGCATCGTTTGTTGTTAGAAGGGAGTCAAGGGCATGCAACAGTCAAAGGAATGAGCCGTTTCATTCAGCGAAGCGGGTTAAAGGGTTATTGCGAGAAAAGTAACGGTAGCTCTAATGTTTCCCAGTTCTAACTCATGCATTTCATGTTGCTGTTTCGTGTCTTTGGAGATTAATTGCAAAGTTTATCATCCCCAGAAATCATTACAGTGTGATACCTAGCATGTCATTGATCACTCAGCCATTCCACTGAATTCACGGAAGGTTTACTTACATTGAGATCCTGTCGAATATCTTTAAGCCCCTCAGCTATAACGGTGAGGTCGTCCACTGCCACCGCGCGAGAGATGTTGGCAAGCTTGGCCTTGACCCGGTCACCGCACTCTGGAACAAGCGACGCACAGTGGTTTAAGAGTGATAAACGGTGTTCAAACGAGTGATGGTCATTAATGTCAAACAAGCAGACAGCTGTCTGGGCAAGAAATAATGACTAATCTAGCTACAGCACTCACGGTGGTCAAACATATTCAGAGGAATTGGATGTTGACTGTCAACTGACATCTGTCACAACGAAGAATTTCTATTTCAGCGGCAAAGCCCAGTCAACTCACTGTCTAGCGACTCGTCGAGCACGGACTGTAGTTCCCGGTAGTTGTCCCGCAGCAGATGGTTTACCTCCTGGGGGCGGACAGAAACGACAAGTGTCAGAGATAGACGTCTGGTGATGATGATGTAGAAACTGATGTTGTCACAAGCCACGATTTAGTCATCATTCAGTCACCAATCAATCACCATTCAGTCACCGGTTATTGACCAGCCGGTCACCAATCACCATCCTTGACACGTCAAAACGACTCATCACCAATCGAAGAATGCTGCCGTGTTTTCGCAGGCCAGTCAGATCCAACTTTATATACGAACCGATTCGTTAAAGCCCTCATGATTTCGGCTTTATGGATACACTGGACGTATTCATCAGCAATCAAACAATTATCGCGACGTAACATTGCCACGAAGTCAACATTAACAATAAAGCTATGGCACTTGTGGCCCCCACATCCCTTCCGAAACTAGCAGGGATTACATCCACGCTAAATTCGCGGCTCTCCATTATTACATCGATGCTAAGCTCCGAACTCTAAATCACGGGCTACTAAATCTTTGCGATCGACGGTGCTCACATATCACCGGTCTCAGACCAGGCGTGGCTCTAAAGTCCCTCCTGACAGATATATGGACAGCTCAGAGGAGAGCAATGATCGATGGTTCATCCATGCGAGCGCTGATGGTCTCTCAGCAGTGCGCCGAGGTTGGTGAGACGGGTACCGTTATACGATGGCTGTCCATCAAGGTCGGGTCATGGATACTGACATAGGTGTAAACAAAGGATGTGTTGAAATGTTGCATGCATGAATTGCACATTGCAGAGTACAAAGCAGAATGCAGAGCAGAGTGCAAAGCGTAGATGCACGGATTCGCCTGTGATGGCGTAGATAAAACGTAAAGGACATCGGCCATTGTGACGTTTTCTATAAAGATTTTCCGAATAAAGATGATCTCATGGAGATGTCAATCGAGTCAGAGTAGTCATAGCGAATGCAAGGCATGCGCATCAGATCAATTAAACACAAAGCTAGCTCGATACGTGAGCCACTCGACCCAATTCTTCAGCGTATTGAACTAGCTCAGAGAGATCGGCCTGGATGAACCACGAGGCTTTAAATTCATGGCCAACCAAATCATCTCGCGCAGATTAAGGGCGGCTTTATAAGCAAACATACCAGACAGAAAGACACACATGTTTGTTATTCGAACGTGATTCATTGTTGCTTCAACCAGCGGGCTGTTGTTCTTCTCACAATCGCGATCACTTCTAGTGATTCATATCAATCCTTGGCATCGGTACAAGTTGCACGCTGCCATCAGTCATACATACTTATATTAACTTTAACCCTCGCCCTGGCAGGGCATTTTTCATAACACGGCCTGGCAGGGGGGGGGGTCGATGCGACCCCCCCCCTCGCGATTGGCTCCTATGGCACCTAGAAACACCAAATTTGGTAGGTAGGTGGGCCCCCTGGAGTTCTCGCCCCTGTGCAAATTTGGTTGCTCTAGGTCAATATTTAGGGGGGTTTTGGGGGTATAAATGCAAAAATTTCGCTAAAAACAGGTCAAAAGTTTTTCGCTTATAACTTTTGATCTAATTAAGATAGAGCAAAATGAAAAGCACCAGTGAACTCAGCACGTCAAGGCGCGTCGAATGATATACTTTTTAACTTGCTTAAGTGTACTTAAAGTTTTTCTTAAATTTTAAGTAAACTTAAATTAATAAATTAAGTTAAAGTTAACCAAATTGCATCATATTGCATATCATTCGATTCGGCTGATCACCAGGAACACAATGATACCATTTTTTAAGCTCTAGAGTCATTATGTGCCAAGTTATTGGCAAAAACGTCATTTGACCTCAGTTGACCTCATTTGACCTGACCCATGGATAAGTACACCAAACAAAGAAGCACCAAGTGACCTGCTGTTAAGTACTGTGGTTTCAAAGCACAAAAGTGATAGAACGAAGCGGATATCTCCAGTATTTTCCGAATTTAGTATTTTCCCATAGGCTTAACATTACGACGTAATGACCTCTAACTGACCTCAGGTCAGTGACCTCAAAAAAACCCGAACTATATGTTATACAACTCGGTGAACTTAGCACATCCTGAAAGTTTGAAGGAAATCAGTGCAAAACTGTGAGTTGGACAGGTGCTGTTTACGAGCATTTAGCGGTACTCTTGCCTCTATAGCGCGAGCCGTCCTCCGCAAGAAAAAAGACTTAAGCCAAAAATGAGGCCAAGTCGAAGATCAAGATTAAGTCGAAGATGAGGAGGAAATGGGGGAACTTGGAATGAAATGTTGTGAATTAAGTGTGAATCAAAGGATCGAAGAATATAAAGCTAAGATTTTGCATTTATGATTCATGATTGATTTAAGATTTGTGAGACCTACTACCGTAAGATTAATGACTAAGTTAAATGATTAAATATACACAACGCGAGACTATATTATCACGAAACCATTTGGTACCAGTGACCCAGATGCGGGGTTCAATATTTAGTTAATATTGAGTTCAAATTAACGTAAGAGTCATTAACGTAATAGCGCACAATGAATGCTGATACTTCCCGAAGAAAGAAGAGAGTCCGCCAAGGACATCGAGCCTACTGCCAGAGAATTATTGATGATATCGATGGCCTTTTAAGTGAGGCGTCGCTGGACAGGGACACCCTGCTCGTCAAGGCAGCCAGTTTAGAGCAACAGAGAGAAAAAATCAAGACGTTGGACGACGAGATCGAGGGGTTGGCAGCTGAAGATGATTTACTTGAAGAGATCCAAGACGCTGGCGAGTGTATAGCACGATACGACTTTGTGCTGCTGCAAGTTAAAAAAGCATGCGAACCCAGTTTCGATAGCAGCCCCCAGCCGCCTACGAACACCAACCCCAACAAAGAAACACAACCTCGCCAGCTAAGTAATTTGCCAAAGCTGGAGCTCCCAACATTCTCGGGTGATGTCATGGATTTCTACACCTTCTGGGACCTTTTTAAATCTGCTGTCCACGACAGACACGACATAACCAACGCAGAGAAGTTCCAGTACTTGAGAGCACAACTAAAAGGAGCGGCATTGAAGACCATAACCGGGCTCAGAGTGGCAGCAGACAACTATCCTGTGGCAGTAGATATTCTTCTGGAAAAATATGGAAACACAGACGTCATCATTGATGCCCACATGCTAGCCTTTGTGGACCTGAAGTGCGGTGCCTACTCATGCTGCGATCTCGAAGAATTCCGCATTGAGCTGGAGGCTCATGTTAGAGAACTGGAGGCTCTGGAAGTCCATGCCAGCGAATATGAAAGGATGCTGTGCCCAGTCATGATGGAGAAACTGCCGGTAAAAGCCAAGGAGAATCTCGTTCGTTACCTAGGACGAAAAACAATGGTGCTGGACGACTTGAGAAAATTCTTATCGGATGAAGTTAAAACGTTGAAAGCATCTGAGACGAGAGGAAGACGACCGCCAAGAGCTGGAGCTCCCCAAAGACGAGCAGCAACATATCAGGCGAGAGGAGCAGAGCTGTTGTGTGCTGTATGTGGTGGCCAGCATACTCATGAGAAGTGTCAGACGTTCCATGCCATGAACTTACCTCAGAGGCTGGCCGTCTGCAGAGAAAAAGGTCTCTGTTACCGGTGTTTAGGACAACGGCACATGTCTCGAGCTTGCACCGCATCTAAGAACTGCGAAGTGGGCGACTGCAGAGGAAACCACCACTCTTTGTTGCACGCAGCTTATCGAGACACCACCAAGCAAGAAGAAGCGATCGATCCTGTCATCAACTCTCCCCAGCGAGGAGCCGGGCCCAGAGAAACTTCCCACAGCAATCGAGCCCTGGCAACATCATCCCCGACGCAGTCCGTGGTTTTCCAGACAGTGCCAGTGGTGCTGCAAGCAGGAAAGCACAGCCTGGTGGTAAATGCATTGCTTGACCCATGCTCGGATGCATCATACGTGAGTGAAGCAGCGGCCGCTGAAATTGGTGTGACTGGTGAGGAGTGCGTGCTCAACCTGACGACCGTTCGTGGTCAGGAGCCAGTGAACATGAAGAAGACGAATGTGTCCATACAAGGCACCGATGGCCGGTTCAAAGCAGACATAACCGCACTCATTACGAAAGATCTGGCAAGCACGTCTGAAGTCTTTGATTGGGCAGCTCTGAAAACGAAGTGGCCTCACCTGAGCGATATAAGTTTCCCAAATGTGTCCAGAAGGCAGGGTGTGGACATGCTAATAGGAGTCAGTCCGCAAACTCTGAGTCTGTTCGTTCCAGAAGAAACGAGGAAAGGTAGAGATGGCGAACCAGCAGCTCTAAAGACGCCTCTCGGTTGGGTGGCGTTCGGACCGATGAGACATGCAGAAGAAAATGGCAACAACATCTCCAACTTTGCTCGCACACTAAGGACGAAAGCTGCACAGCTGGACAAAGAAGACATCATTCAGGCATTTGACAAAATGTCAGATATAGACTGGATGGGTGGCAACAACGAAGACGGCACGCCGACATCACACGAAGATAGGATGGCAGAAGAAAAGGCAGCTGCCAGTCTGCAGTTTTCCGACGGACGCTACCAGATCGGAGTACCGTGGAGAAGAGGGAGGCCAGCTCTGCACTGCAACTATGAAACAGCCGCCTCGCGGCTTGAGAAAACCGAAAACTCGCTGAAGAAAAAGGGTGGTGACCTTGCCGAAAGATACAACCAAATACTTGAGGACTATGAGAGAAAGGGCTACATGAAGAAATACAGTTACGAAGAGTGGATGGCTGGCGGCGGCGGCGGTTGGTTTCTGCCTCACTTTCCAGTAGTGAGAGAAGATAAATCAACCACGAAACTCCGTATCGTCTATGACGCGGCTGCGACGAACCAGGGGAAAAGTCTGAACTCAGAGATATATCCAGGACCCTCTCTGTACACGGACCTCACAGAGATCCTGCTACGCTTCAGACAACATTCGGTGGCTCTTGTGGGAGACGTAGCTGAAATGTTTCTGCAAGTAGAGCTCCCGCCCGAAGATCGTCAGTACCACCGCGTCCTGTGGAGAAACTTCGACGTCAGCCGGCATCC